GCTTTTGTAAAATTATTAGTTTGGTCCATTTAGTTCTGTTTTTATTATTTCATTATTTATTTATATTATTTTAATTATTTTTTAATTTTTTATTATTACTTTTGGTGGTGATAAAAAAGATAATTAAAATAAAATTAATATGAAAGATGAGGAAAAATAAAGACTAATAAAATGAAAAATTATTTAATGTTATTGTTTAAAGTCACAAGGTTAGCACCTATGAAAATTAATTCTTAAAATACATCAAGCCAATGTAATGTACACCCTTAAAATCATTGAGTGAGAGATCAATCTAGAAATGTACACAACTTGATTTGAAGACACTCCAATCATTTGTAAGTGTGGAGAGATAAATAGTTAAAATTTTATGTAAACGTGGTGTGTAAAATTTATATATAAGTAAAAATAAAATTAATATGAAAGATGAGGAAAAATAAAGATTAATAAAATGAAAAATTACTCAATGTTATTCTTTAAAGTCACAAGGTTAGCACTCATGAAAATTGATTTTTTTAAATATACCAAACCATTGTGATGTACACCCTTAAAATCGTTGAGTGAGATTAATCAAGAAATGTACACAAGTTGATTTGAAAACACTACAATCATCTATAAGTGTGGAGAGATAAAATATTAAGATTTTATGTAAGTGTGGTATTTAAAATTAATATGTAAATAGAAATAAAATTAATATGAAAGATTAGGAAAAATAAAGATTAAGAAAATGAAAAATTATTTAATGTTATTCTTTAAACTCACAAGGTTAACACCTATGAAAATTAATTTCTTTAAATACACTAAACCAATGTGATGTACGCACTTGGACTTTCGGGCCCAATGGCATCAAGCCACATTAAAGTGCATCCCCTTTCTCCTCGGGCAATGATTCGAATCTAGTCTTTTGCAAATTAGTTCAGAAAAAAGAAAAAACCAATGTGATGTACACCCTTAAAATCGTTGAGTGAGAGATTAATCTGGAAATATACGTAAGTTGATTTGAAGACACTCCAATCATCATAATATGTAAAACTTATGTATAAGTATATTCTTGCCATATATATTATGTTCATTTTTGTGCTTAAGTGGATGGGATTTACCATGGTTAGTTTATTGTTAAAGATTAATAAATTTTATTTGAAATAATTTATTTTATTAAAAAATTTCTTTTTCATCTACTTTCTAATTGATACATAAATATATCGTTCAATTTAAGTTTCATTTTGCCCCTTCTTAAAAAATTTTCTAGTTACTCTCAAGCAGATTATGAAAATAATGAGATGCTTTGATATTGATACAAGTTTTATATTGTTTTACTTAAAAGGAGAGATAAATAGTTAAAATTTTATGTAAGTGTGGTGTGTAAAATTTATTTATAAGTAGAAATAAATTAATATAAAAGATGAGGAAAAATAAAGATTAATAAAATGAAAAATTATATAATGTTATTCTTTAAAGTCACAAGGCTAGCACTTATGAAAATTAATTTTTTTAAATATACCAAACCAATATGATGTACACCCTTAAAATCATTGAGTGAGAGATTAATCAAGAAATGTACACAAGTTGATTTGAAAACACTCCAATCATATGTAAGTGTGGAGAGATAAATTGTTAAAATTTTATGTAAGTGTGATATGTAAAATTTATATGTAAATAAAAATAAAATTAATATAAAAGATTGGGAAAGATAAAGATTAAGAAAATGAAAAATTAGTTAATGTTATTCTTTAAAGTAAAAAAGTTAACACCTATGAAAATTAATTTCTTTAAATACACTAAACCAATGTGATGTACACCCTTAAAATCATTGAGTAAGAGATTAATCTGGAAATGTACACAAGTTGATTTAAAGAGTGGAGAGATAAATTATTAAGATTTTATGTAAGTTTAGCATGTAAAACTTATGTATAAGAATATTCTTACTATATATATATTATGTTCATTTTTGTGCTAAAGTGGATGGGATTCACCATGATTAGTTTATTGTTAAAGATTAATAAATTTTATTTGATATAATTTATTTTATTAAAAAAATTTCTTTTTCATCTACTTTCTAACTAATACATAAATATATCGTTCAATTTAAGTTTCATTTTGCCCCTCCTTAAAAAATTTTCTGGTTACTCTCAAGCAGATTATGAGAATAATGAGATGCTTTGATATTGATACAAGTTTTATATTGTTTTGCTTAAAAGGAAAAAAAATAAAAAATAAAAGTGTTTTCCATGTCAAATTGTATAATAAATTTACTAAAATATCATTAATATCATTAACAAAGTTATTTCTTATGTTATTCTATTAATAATAATTTAATAATTTCAAAACTCAAATTGTATTTTTAACATCCAATCTACCGTGTAAAACATAAATGCCTTTCCCATATATACTTGCATGCACTTTTTACCACAAGACCTCATACCGCATTTGCTCTTAAATTATAAAATTTGATTACCTGCTATGAGGTAAAGCTGCCACTTCATTTTAAGATAAAGATTTTGTATTTAGGGTAGCTACATAAATATCTACCATAATCTATCATAATTGAGTCACATACCACATAAATATCTTATTTAGCTGATGGTAATTTTCATCTTTGCATGTGTAAATTTTAACTATTACAACTAATTACTAATGAAAGAACTTTATTTCTTGACATGAAAATAGAGGTGCAGGTCTTTATTTATCCAAGAATTAGAGATCGAGGCTTTAATCTATCCAATTATGATTTAAGTGTGTCTAAGTCTATATGTAGAGGAGAAAACCTGGAAAGTTCTTCAGAGTCGCGCAAACTCAGCCATCGCTTCATCTCTAGTCCTTGGAAGTAATAACCAGCAACCCTAATGCACCAATAAGAATATACTGCGAGAAAGGCCCAAAGGTCACTTTTTATCCAGAAAAAGAAATCTCATAAGACAAGTATGAATGTCACCAATGCATCATAGCCATAATTCACAAACAAAAAGTGTGACGATGTATAATGAAGAAAAAAGGGAGGAAATTAAGAAGCAAGGAGTAATGTGAAATCTCAAGTTGTAACTGCACCAAACCAGACGTCCTTCTTCACTTCGGATCTGCACTCCGGAGTGACCTGCAAAGCCCCGAGATGGATCTCGGGGTAGACACTCCGATGCTTAAGTCAGCAATAATCAAGGCTACCTTTTAAGCGAAGGAACAAGGAGTTTAGGGTTGGTTTTTTCATTACCTTTTGG